GGAAGTTTTAAAGAAGAGACTGGATAGCCATTTGTCTGAAATGGTATAGGGTTTCCTGCCTGAGTAGGGGGTTGGACTAGATGACCTCCAAGGTCCCTTCCAACTTTACTACTACTACTACTACTACTACTACTATTATTATTATTATTATTATTATTATTATTATTATTATTATTATTATTATTATTATTATTATTATTATTACTTATGAAAAGACAATGACAGATCCCAAACCAGTATTATTGTTTGACTTTAGGTTGCACCAAAGAAAGCAAAATTATTACCTGTGTTCATGCAACAAGGTCACTTAAAGTTCCTAATACCTCTATTTGCACACTATATTAAGTTTGGTTAGTTTACATCTTGGTTAGTTCAGGGAGGACTTAGCATGTCGACTGAATGTTAACTATTTGGTTGGTTTATGATTCCATAGCTTGTGCAAACACAGAAATGTGGATTAATTCATTAAGCCAATTAAGAAAACAACATGTTGGATCTTACTTTTGACTCTCCTTCAGGAACATGGTTGGGTTTACGGGTAGTCCTCAACTTACAACCATTTAGCCACTTAGCGACGGGTTCCAAATTACGGTGTACCTCCCCATGATTACTTTCAACCCAGTTCTGAAGTCCTGATGGCTGCCCCTCCCTGTGGTCATATGACCACTTTTCAGTTGCTCAGCAACCAGCCTGCATTTATAGCAGTTTGCAGTGTCCCATAGTCATGTGACCGTGTTTGACAATGTTTTTTTTGCTGAAAACTGACATTTACTTCATTTTTGGCAAAACCAGCCCACAGTAAACAACTAGTTTAATTAACAATCACAGTGCTCACTTAATAACCAATGCCAAAAGCAAAATCGGGTCCCTCACATACAGCCTGCTATCACTGCTACCGTCAAAACGTATTATCGTAATGGGCAGACTCCATAAAATCGTAAATTGAGGACTATTTGTACATCTTTTTGTTGTTTTATTTATTTATTTTTATGAGGGGTATTTATATTATTTACTTACGTTCCAGAATGTTTTCCATCCCGGCATAGTCCTCAGCATCTCCTGTGTATTCGTTTACTGGAGGATTTCAGTAAGATGGACAGCTTCATATGCCTGCAGGGCCAAATCCTGCTGGAACTGATTTTCTAGAATGACAGATGATTCAGTTAAAACAAAAAAACGAGCAAACTCTCTCTCCAAACTCTCCATGGAAACGCGAGTGACAATGAAAGGGAAAATTAATACCAAGAATGAAAGTTTCCATTTGATATCATATCATGGAGACTGGAGATCTCCCAAATGCCTCAGCTTTTGAAGTTCTACAACAGGTTGCCATCATATAAGTATTTAATTATCCCCATTGTTTCTATTTTTAATTGCAAATAAACGCAAGATGATTCTTCCTGTGGTATGACTAACCGGGGATAGATTAACACATTTGATGATGTGACAACAAGTCAATGATGATTCTTTGGAAGCACAAAGAGAGAATTCTTGCAAGGCAGTCTGTCCCTAACTTGGCCCTTTGGGTTTGTCAACAATGATCCAATCACCACTGTAACCAAGTCCTTCCACTTGGATGCTGGTCATTCCCTTCCTCTTTTTCCATGCATCTTTTCCGGAATTAGATCCTTCTCCAGAGAGTTGGGTCTGCCCATCAGGTGTACAAAGTCAGATAATTTGAACCAGGTAAATTTGTGCTTCGAGTGAAAATAAATTTGCTCTACAGTCTAAGCATTTGTTTCTTTGGCTAGTAGTCTCAGAGGTTTTCTTCAGCAACAAACACACACATATATGTATATGGATATAAGTAGTCCTTGACTTACAACCACAATTGAGCTCAAAATTTCCATTGTTAAGCAAGGTAGTTGTTAAATGAATTGCACCCTATTTTACGACCTTTTTTGCCACCGTTATTAAATGAATCACTGCAGTTCTTAAGTGAATTATACGGCTGCTAAGCGAATCTGATTCTCCCATTGACTGCTTGTTGGAAGCCAGCTGGGAAAGTTACAAGTGGATAAATACCCTGAGACAAAATACATAATAATAATAATAATAATAATAATAATAATAATAATAATAATAATAATAATAATAATAATAATAATTAATAATAATAATAATAGTTGAAAGGGACCTTGGAGGTCATCTAGTCCAACCCCCTGCTCAGGCAGGAAACCCTATACCATTTCAGACAAATGGCTATCCAGACTCTTCTTAAAAACTTCCAGTGTTGGAGCATTCACCGCTTTTGGAGGCAGGTTGTTCCACTGGTTAATTGTTCTAATTGTCAGGAAGTTTCTCCTTAGTTCTAGGTTGCTTCTCTCCTTGATCAGTTTCCACCCTTTGCTTCTTGTGCTGCCTTCAGGCGCCTTGGAAAATAGCTTGACTCCCTCTTCTTTGTGACAGCCCCTGAGATATTGGAACACTGCTATCATGTCACCCCTCGTCCTTCTCTTCATTAAACTAGACATACCCAATTCTAGCAACCGTTTCTTATATGTTTTAGCCTCCAGTCCCCTAATCATCTTTGTTGCTCTTCTCTGTACTGTTTCTAGAGTCTCAACATCTTTTCTACATCCTATTATTATTATTATTATTATTATTATTATTATTATTATTATTATTATTATTATTATTATAAGTTGGAAGGGACCTTGGAGGTCATCTAGTCCAACTCCCTCCTCAGGCAGGAAACCCTATACCATTTCAGACAAATGGCTGTCCAGTCTCTTCTTAAAAACCTCCAGTGTTGGAGCATTCACTGTTTCTGGAGGCAGGTTGTTCCACTGGTTAATTGTTCTGTCAGGAAGTTTCTCCTTAGTTCTATGTTGCTTCTCTCTTTGGTTAGTTTCCATCCATTGCTTCTTGTCCTGCCTTCAGGCGCTTTGGAGAATAGCTTGACTCCCTCTTCTTTGTGGCAGCCCCTTTGTGGCAGCATGCTAGTTGCCAAGTGTCCGAATTTTAACCACGTGACCATGGGGATGCTGCAATTGTTGTAAATGTGAAAGCTCTCCTAAGTAACCATTTTCAGTGCCATTGTAACTTCGAACCGTCAATAAGTGAATGGCTGTAAGTCGAGGACTGTCTGTATTATGCAAAACTAAAATAGAGCTTCATGGAGAATACTACAACTATCTATGTGGCTACTAGGAATCCAAAACAGCTTGATGTCACAAAATGTAGCTTCTCTGCAACTTGGTCTGTTGCATGGCAGCGGTTTACATGCCATGATTTGAGGCTTAGACTGTTGCATGGATGTAGTCAATTGTGACTTCTTTAATCATTCATTTTAGTATTATTCTAGAAGACAATCCTTGGAAAAACAGTCCAGGGCCATTAATAGGCATCCCTAAGATTTAATTTGCATAATGACACAATGACACAGTGTCACTTCTCTCCTTGTTCCCCCGCCCTCCAGATAACCAAGGTCACGCATGGCTGTCAGAAGCGGCAAGGAAAAGCTAATTACAACCTTGCATGCAAGTTATATACTCCCCCCCCCCCAAACATTAAGCTGCAGATCATAAGGGCATCATTTGCACACTGATGCACACATGTTTCCCTTTTGACATGGTTACAGACAACTATGCCTGATGTTCAAAGGCTGGCACAGATGTACACTAAATGGAACAGAAACACGGGCTCTTCTTCCTCTTTGCGAGCTGTCATTTCAGACGCAGTAAGGTCAGGTTCCCGCAACGGAGGAATGCTTCAAAGGCAGGCAATACGGAAGGAAGGAAGGAAAGAAAGAAAGAAAGAAAGAAAGAAAGAAAGAAAGAAAGAAAGAAAGAAAGAAAGAAAGAAAGAAAGAAAGAAAGAAAGAAAGAAAGAAAACGTGCACTCATAGAGAACATCACAGGATTCGCGGCCCGTGCAGCAGTAGATGATGTCTGTGTTTTGCGTTTAGCGATGGGCTCTGCAGCGGTGGTCAAAAAAGTCAAGATGGAGGACACCCCTTAATACATGGGGAATACCCAAAAAAAAAAAAAAAAAAAAAAAGCCAGGTCTCCACAAGGTGCAGCTGGAAAGATGGCAGCGGACGCGATCCGTCCATTGCTCCTCCTGCTCTTTTCCGCGGGGAGCCCGCAAACGTGTGAATTAGCTCTCCTCGAACGCCCACTTCTCCCGCGGCACGAGAACCACCCTCACGATTCTTTCCCTCCGCCGCCCCCCCCCCGTGGCCGCGTCCCCCACTGTCGCGCGGTGGCCCTGCCACTCAGAAACCTGCATTTCTATTGGCTGGTCGGCAGCTCGGCGTGCCGGCTTCCCCACCCCCACCCGCACCCCGTGGGTTGCGTGTCTCGGTGCACGTGTATACGCGGCAGAGCTGCGTCGAGAGCCGAGGGAGGGAGGGGAGGTGGAATCGAACGGGAAGCGCTCGATTTAGCCGAGGGGCTCTTCTATTTCCGCTTAGATCTCGATCGATGGGCTCTATTTTGGTTTAGCCGGCGAAGAAGCCAATCGATCCCAGAGAGTTTTTAGACCAGCGGAAGCGCTCGGGGGGGGAAAAAAAACAAAACAAAACCTCCAGGCGCGCCCCCGCGTGGGAAGGCCCCCCCCCCCGCCTCTCTCTCTCTCTCTCTCTCTCTCTGCCCGGCGAGCGAAGGAAAGCCCCGCAGCCTCCTCGCCAGAGGGCAGGGCAGGGCGCGCAGGCGGCGGCGGGCCTCCCGTCTCCACCCCGGGAGGCTGGATGGGGCCAGGCAGCGGCTCGTCCCGGCCGGGAGGTGGCGGCGGCGGTGCCAAAGCTGCCTCGGAGCCCGGCGCCAGGACGGAGGGGCCGGCCACGCTCTTGCCTTAGACCCGCCGAGCAGGAGGAGGAGGAGGAGGAGGAGGAGAAGGAGAAGAAGGCAGCTGGGCGGCCCGGGCGCGCGCGCCCGCCCGCTCCGCTCCGCTTTGCGCTTGTCCCGGGGAAGGGGAGGCCGCGAAGGAGGGAGCGAGGAAGCCCTCTCGCTGCGCCTGCTCGCCTGGCTTGGCTGGCTGCCTGGCTGGCTGGCAAAATGGGCTGGAGCCGGGAGCTCGGCGGACCCGGAGCTCGGCTCCTGCCCCTGCTGCTAGCGCTGCTGGTGCTCCTGGCCGGGCAGCCGCCGAGCGCCGGCCGGAAACCTCCGAAGAGAAGATGCGCTTCGGGCTGCACCTGCACCAAGGACACGGCGCTGTGCGAGGGGGTCAAGGAGATCCCCCGCGATCTGCCCCCGAACCTCATCTCCCTGTAAGCTTTCTCTCGGCGAGGGGGAGGGAGGGGGGGCTTCTCTTAACCTCCCCCCCCCTTTCCTTCCTGCCCATCTATTTCTTTTTTTTTTTTTCTTCCTTTTTTTTAATCCCCTCCTTGCTTAACGGCAGCCCAAAGAGCTACGGTAGTTGATCTCCCGGTTTATGTACATTAAATCGACATGGACTCCTTTGATCTCAAGATCTGAGCTTAAATCTACGGCGGACCCCTCTCCCAAGATTAAAGCTTGCAGGGAGGGGGGGGGCTTCCCGAGGAGAAACAGACACCCCTTTTCTCCAAAGGAAGACCAGTTTGGGCTCGGGCCCCCATCTTCTGAAAACTGTCATGAAAGGGGTCCTGGGGACAGGCCAAAGATCTGCAACCCCTGGCCTGGCCCAAACCCTTACCTGAAGGCTGGCCTTGCCTGCAGAGTTGAGGACAACTTTTGTGGGGTCTTTGGGTGGCTGGGAGGGGGTGGAAGTGGCTGGGAGGGAGCAGGGAAATTGAACTAGCAAGGGGCCACGAAGTGCATTGCTTTCCCTTGGTGAGAGCACCCATCTCTGGTGCAATGATGGCAACCAGGTTAGCAGAGATGTGGCTGGGAAGAAATGGATTTTAATCAGGAGAACACACAAACACATCACAAATTCTGCTTGAAGTCGGCTGAAATTGACCGTGCACCCTCTCTCTTCTTCCTTAGAAACTCACCTCCTAAAAGCAAGCTACCCTAACGGCTAGTTGCTTCTTCTATTTTTTTTTCCAGTGTATTTATGAGATACCTAATGGGCAGTTTCCAGCAAATCTTGCATCATTGGATCCCCAAAACAACAACCCTGTGAAAGAAGATAGGCTGAGGGAAAGCAACTGGCCCAGGTTCACCCTGAGTCAGGAAAAACACAAATTTAGATTTCCCCCATCCGGACCTTAATCGATACACCGTGCTGGCATCCAAAAATCAGGAAAAGATGTCCCTCCTTGAAAGGATGGGGAAATTGCTGAAACTGGCAGCTGCAAACATTCTCGCACCACCAGCAGCCTGCCCAAATTATTGCAGATTTCCCGAGGAAATTAGATGCAGCTTGACAACCCCCCCCCCTTGAAACTCGGAATATTGCCAGAGATACACCTCCATGCAGACAAATGCGCCTCAAGCTGCTGCAGGTAAATTCCTCCAGGTAAAACTGGCTCCAGGAAACTGCTCTCGTCACCCATAGGAGAGTGTTCAAATGGCAACATCCAGAATTTTGGATTACTATCCATTGCTAATTTACTTTGAGCAAGATTATTCTTGATGGTTGGTCCTTTTCTTCGGGCCAGATGATGGTGCCGCTGCTTTGTTGCTGAAAACATTCTCTCTCTCTCTCTCTCTCTCTCTCTCCCTCCCTCCCTCTCTCTCTCTTTCTCTCTTTCTCTCTCTCTCCAGGTGTCTTATTCGATCTGGGTTCACTGAGGTCTTGGAAGGCAGTTTTCAACAGGTGCCGTCTCTCCAGCTGCTGTAAGGATCCTCTCGGTTGTGAGTGTTGTGGCATGCATCAAAACGTGTGTACTTTAAGTGTTCCTCAGTCGGTGTGTATGGTACATGAGACCCGGTCTCTGTTTGCCTACTCAATCTCCCAGTCACAGGATCTTGCCAAGAAGCCCTCTGAATGTGACTCCTTTTGTCTAAATGCCTAGTATTTCACCTGATTCCTGATAAGGAGAATGGCAAGGATTGTGCCCTTCTTTGGTTCTAGGGGGTGTACGCACTGGTTTTCTTTCCTTTTGACCTACGCTGTTCTTTGTGGATCCATCAGTCCACCTTGGGAAGTCTCCCTGAGGATCTGAATGAGGAAAGGGGAGCCGTACTCATCATGTAAAGTGTTCGTGGCACGTGATTCTGCTTGCTTATATATCTGGGGTCTGTAAGGCTTAGTCCCGGAATTCCCAGTATGACACCCTTCCCTTTAGATCAGGGGTCTTCAAACTTGGCCCTTTTATGACTTGTGGACTTTGACTCCCAGAATTCCTCAGCCAGGCACGCTGGCAGAGGAATTCTGGGAGTTGAAGTCCACAAGTCATAAAAGGGCCAAGTTTGAAGACCCCTGCTTTAGATATACAGGTAGTCCTCAATTCATTTAGTGACCATTCAAAGTTGCAACAGCACTGAAAACAGTGACTTTGTGATCATTTTTCACATTTATAACCATTGCAACTTCCCTCCACGGTCACGTGATCAACATTCGAATGCTTGGCAACTGGCTCATATTTATGACCGTTTCAGTTCCCCTGGAGTCATGTGATCCTCCTTCTGACAAGCAAACTCAATGAGGAGGCCAGGTTCACTTAACAACCGTGTTACTAACTTAAGAACTGCACTTAACAACTGTGGCAAGTAAAGTCATAAAACGGGGCAAAACTCACTTTTAACAATTGTCTCGCTTAGCGACAGAAATGTTGGGCTCGGTTGTGGTCATAAGTCGAGGACTATGTATATTGGTCTGCAGCTCTTCAAATTTTTAATCAGCGTCTCCTCCCAGCGGCCGTTTCGTCACGTCTGAATATTGAGAAAAGATGAGGTATTCTCTCTGGAGTTGCAAAGATTAGGATTAGTCGGCAAAATAATTTTAATTGCCGATTAGCAGCACCCAATTAGACAGTCAGCAAATCTGCGCATATCTCTGTCGCTACAGATCAGTCTGTGCAAAACAAAACCTGCAAATATTCTATGTATAATTATAACTGCACCAGTGGCATGTTAGGAAAATTATTCCTGAAGGAGCAAAAACGGAGTGTGGACTTTTTCAAAGGCAGTATGTGCTGCACATTGCAGAACAAGTACACCATTGAAAAAGCAAAGACTCTTTACGATAGGGTTTCCCAACCATGGCAACTTTAAGACCTGTGGACTTCAACTTCCAGAATTCTCCTGGTTTCACTAGGATTCCCTTCAAAGTTAATAGACTTAGAATTGTCCTGTTAATTGATTAATGCCCGAGCTTTCATCTATTGGCACCTTTAACAGGGTAACACGCACCTCTACCTGTTGAGTTGTGTTCAAACCGCGTATTTTTCTCAATCAGTTGCAAAGCATAATGGCTCCCTTGGCCCAGAGGCTAAAGCTTGATTAATTCTAACCTTGAGCAGGTCTTTTTAAGGCCTCTGCATGTGGTGCAGACTTTCTTCTTTGGATGAGTGTATTTTGCAAAGCTGCAAAATGGGTTAATTCAGTAACCATGTTAAGTTCCCATGTTTATGGATTTGGGTAATAGACAGTGCTATTTTACCAGTTCTCATGAATTAACATCCCCGGGCTCCTTATGTGGCGTACATAATACAGGCAGTCCTCAACTTACAACAGTTCATTTAGCGACCATTCAAACTTACAACATCACTGAAATAATGACTTATGACCAGTGGTGGGATTCAGTCAATTCGCACCACTTCGGCAGAACCGGTAGCTACTTTTTTGTTGCCCAGGCCCAGAATGGACTTCCGGTAGCGGCATCCACACAGAGAACCGGTTGTTCCCATATTTGAATCCCACTACTCCTTCCTTCCTTCCTTCCTTCCTTCCTTCCTTCCTTCCTTCCTTCCTTCCTTCCTTCCTTCCTTCCTTCCTTCCTTCCTTCCTTCCTTCCTTCCTTCCTTCCTGTGGTAGGATTCAGCCAGTTCGCACCACTTCAGCAGAACCAGTAGCTAATTTTTTGTTGCCCAAGCCCAGAATGGACTTCCAGAAGTGGCATCCACACAAAGAACTGGTTGTTCCTATATTTGAATCCCACCACTGGGTGTTTCCCAACCATGGCAACTTTAAGTTATGTGGACTTCAACTCCCAGCATTCCCCAGCCAGCCTTTCAACTTACTGCCATTTGTTTAGTAACTGTTCAAAGTTACTATCTGAATCCCACCACTGCTTATGACCATTTTTCACACGACAGCATTCCCACGGTCACGTGATCAAAATTCAGAGGTTTAGCAACTGGCTCACATTTATGACGCTTGCAGTGTCCCAGGGTCATCTGATCCCCTTTTGCCACCTTCTTACAAGCAGAGTCAACGGGGACACCAGAGTCATTTAAGCACCGTGTTACTAACTTTAACAACTGCAGTGATTCAGTTAACAACTGTGGAAAGAAAGGTCGTAAAATGGGGCAAAACTCACTTAGAAAGTGTCTCACTTAACAACAGAAATTTTGGGCTCAATTGCGGTCGTAAAGTCGAGCACTACCTGTATGTGTTCATCCTGTAAAGGAGGGTGTTAGCATATCTGCATACAACATGTGTCTGTTTTGGGACCAGTGAACCGTTACAGTTGCCCATTGTAATGGAATGTAATGCTGGTTAAAAAATACGCCTTCTTTCCCATTTGCAACCTAGGAAACAGACATTGGCAAAGCAATAGTGATTAGTTTCTTTTTTTCTTTTTTTAACCAATGAGCTGCGTACTAATCTTGGATATTTTGGGTCTGGAAGCCTCCTGATCCCACATGCATGTTCAGATTTAAAAATACCCTTCCGAGAAAGACATTCATTCAAGACCTTCTATGTTCCTCCATCATGTGCTCCAAAACTCATCTCTGAGGTTGAGAAATGGATGACCTCTGACTCACTGCTGGGCCGAGGGAAATTTCAGGCAGGAAACAATTAGATCATTTCTACAATCTGGGTTTAATGATGTGCTTTAAAATTTAAAAATGCTCAAATGAACCTGCGTAAATATTTTTAGCCCAACCAGTTGGTGGTTGGTTATAAAGTGGGGGACGGGGTGGTGACGATGTTGATGGTTATGATGGAAGGAAATCTGGCAAGCAGTATCACCTTCAGTAGAAAACTGTGATGCAGATCATCTTGTCCGAGGGTTTCAGGCTACCTGGCCTAGGGTGCTGCTTTCCATAGCTCTGGGCCCCCATGTCTGTCTGGCCCCTGACATCCACCCTAGTTACTTGCCCCTGATTGTAGAAAGAGCTACATGGAGCTGTATGGGCATTCGATCTTGTCTCTGGCCAGCTTTAATCCCAGTTTTGCTAGGCCAGATGTTGGAAGACCTGATGCCCTCAAGGCCTCTTTAACTCTGTCTCCTCTCTAGCCAGCAGCTGACTCTCCTAGGCCAGAGGTCCCCAACCTTTTGGGCACTAGGGACCAGTTCCGTGGAGAAAGGTTTTTCCATGGACCAGAGAGGGCGTGGTTTTGTGTGCTGCCTGCATCCCACGGATGGGGCTTTGCTTGTTTATGTGGACCAGTTGCTGGCATTCTGCCGCCTGGTACTGGTCCATGGACCAGGGGTTGGGGATCCCTGCCCTAGGCTGTCCCTTCCCTGACCCTTAGCACCCTTATCTTCCCCTCCTGCAACAGTCCTGGTTGTTCAGAGCGCTTTCGTTCATCATAGAGGTGGTGTTTCCTTTAGGAACCCCAATAAGTGGCTATTTCTCCTTTGTAGTTCTTGCAAACTGACCAGCCTGCCTGCTTTTTCCCCAACCTTCTCCTCCTTAGCTTGATCACTTACAACTCTCTGGAACTGATTGGGGACGACGCTTTTGTGGGACTTGTGCACCTGGAATATCTGTAAGTACGCAACAGCGGTGGGTTTGGGAAAAGAGGAGCGAATACATCAGTGAGGACCAAGATGGGTTGACACCAGGAACTTGCCAAGCCTCAGCATCTCAGTCAAGAACAGAACAGCAGAGCCCCTCCCAATGGGATGGGACTTTAGTGAAGGTTGATGGAGTCACAGTCTATCAACATCTGGACTGCTGAATATAGCAGATAAGAGACAGACCCTACAGCTCATAAAGAGATGGGCTTGCAGGATTTAAGAGATTGAGTTGTAGCTATGGAACTATGTGGAGAAAATGCTGGAAGGAGCTGTCACAGAGAAGAGGGCATTGATTTATTCTCCAAAGCATCCAAGGGCAGGACAAGAAGTAATGGGAGGAAGCTTGTTAAAGAGAGGTCCAACTTAGAAATAAGGAGATTTTTTCTGACATTGAGAACAATTAATTAATGGATCAGCTTGCCTCCTGAAGTGTTCCATCACTGGAGGTTTTCAAAAATAGACTGGACAGACATTTGATCGGGATGGTATAAGCTCTCCTGCCTTGAGCAGGGGTTGGACTAGAAGACCTCCAAGGTCCCGTCCAGCCCTATGATTCTATGTTCTATGAACTGTATAAGTCTGAAAGAACCCAGCCTGGGAATATATCTACTATAAGATGTGCAATCAGCTTTATTTTCCTTTATTCATGAAACTTCATTCCAACATCTAGAAGGTTATATGTGGATGATCCCAGATTTAGAGCCCATTTGCTTTTTGTTTTGCACGTTTCTTTATTTGTCAAATTATAGTGCTGCTTTTCTTCCAGAAGCAAAAGGCAATGTTGTGTAGTGGTGGTTCTCCCCCCACCTTCTGATTTTCTCCTCATAGGAACAGCCCTGTGAGGTAGGCTGAGTTGAGAAAGCATCACTCGCCAAAATCATGATCTGAGGATGGACTTAATTCCATCTTTTGTCCAACATCTTAACCACTGCCCTATTCCTTTTTCCTCCTTTCCTGAGACTTACAAGGATTTCTCTCCTACTTGCTAGATTCATTGAACAAAACAGACTAGAAGCCATCTCCAAGAATGCCTTCAGAGGCCTGAAGGGTCTTCTCCATCTGTGAGTATTTTGTGGACATCTTCCTAGTTCCTCTTTGGACTTCTGGAGTTCTGGCAAAGTTTATCACACAACTTTGCTTACTATTTATTTATTAGATTTTATATCCAGCCTTTATTTTGGCTAAACTCAAAGTGGCATGCATTTGTAAGGGTCCCCCCAGCAACTTAGCCTCAGACAGCAATGATTTTGTGTGGTCCGGGTGCCTTTATTATCCCAAACACTCCTTCATTTTGGTTCTTGGTGCTGTCTGTTGTTTGCGTGCAGACATTTCATTTCCCAATTAGGGAACATTACCAGCACTGATGATGTTCCCTAGTTGGGTCATGAAACGTCTGCAAGCAAACAACGAAGCTCAAGAGAGATCAAGGACTCCACGGTTCAACCCTGAGCTACCAATATTCTCTTCTGGGGGGACGGTTCCATTTCAACACACAGCACGTTCCCAGACCTACCAACTTCCTTTAAGGATATTCTTTTTCCTTTCCATCCTCCCAGGAATTTAGCCAACAACAACTTGCAGACCTTACCAAGGCACCTCTTCCGAGGCCTGGATTCGCTGACTTCAGTGTAAGTTGTGGGTCCAGCAAAAAGAAACAAGAGTATGATTTTGGGTAGAAAACATTACTCAACCTCACTTCCAGCTCTGGTCAGGAGGGCAACCAAGGGACCCAGGTCCTTTGCATATGCAATCCAAACAGATGAATATCTCACACCAAAGATAGTCAGCTGTCCACTGGCTTAATTGATGGCTTAGAGTCAGACCCTCAACTCCCCATTACCCAAAGGAACATAAGAATTGTACAGACCATGCTCAACCTATGAACGGTCATTTAGGGACTGACAGGCATTCCCCCTCCAAAGTTACTTAAGACCCAATTCCAAATTTCTAATGGCAGCCCCTCCCCCCACAGTCACATCACTGCATTTCAGGGGCTCAACAGTTGGTGTGAATTGGCAGCACTTCCAATGTCCGTTGACCATGATTTATGACGTTTTTGCTGAAAACTGTCCTTTGCTTCATAATTAAGACACCGTGAACAGTGGGTTCGCTTAACGACTATGGCTTCACTTAATAACCGCCGCAATAAAGGTAAAATCAGGTCGGTCACATGATGATCTGCTTTACAAGTGTCACAAATTGCAGCTGTAATGGGCAAGGACTATATGTGGGTCCATTATACCTGGAAGGTGCCATTGTAACAAAGTTGGCACCTAAATCAATGAATCCCATTGGAAAGGGATGAAACATCAGGGATTTGCCTGTTGTGATGCTTGGTACAAAGACGTCCGTTGTTTAAAACCAAGGATAGCTTTTAACCTCTTAGGTTAGTTTTCAGGCTTGCCCTGGAAGGGGTGATTTGACAGCCAAAAGATTGGAAGTGTTGCCCCCTAGTATAGTGTTGGTGAGTTTTCATACGAGATGGATTTAACAAAGATTTTTACAAAGAAAATAAGACATCCACCCAAAATTGTTATCATCGGATTTTGATGGACCAGCCTGAAGATTTCAGGGTTGAGGGTTGGACGTTTCCTGGTTTTGGCTTGGGGAAGGAAGAGAAGGATGTGAACTGTGGCAAGTCAGAGAGATGGGCTGGCCAAAGAATGAACTACCTTCTGCCCCAAGAACCTGGAAAGGCATCCCCCCGCCCAAAAGACACAAAGCTGGCCCTGGGTGACCGTTTTGCTGCCCCCCTGCCCTCCTGGCGATCACCCACCGACTTCTCTCTCAACAGGGACTTGCGGGGAAATGCTTTCCACTGTGACTGTAAGCTGAAGTGGCTGGTGGAATGGTTGAGCCACACCAGCGCCTTGGTGGAACCCATTGAGTGCCACTCGCCGGCGGAGCTGAACCGCACCAGTCTCAGCGAGCTCCGGCCTGGAGGGTTCAGCTGCATCACCACTGGTAGGTCATCCTTTGTCCTAGGCAGGGTTCCCTCCAGCGAGGAAGGACTGCCAGCCCTACCAGGAGTCAAAGGCAGCCAGCAAGTATGACTGTCCTGGAAGGGTCAGCCAAATGGGTTAGCTCCTTGCTTTGTTTCTCCCTAATGGGGAGAAGAATGGTCTTGGCTGTCTATGTAGTAGTAGTAGTAGTAGTAGTAGTAGTAGTAGTAGTAGTAGTAGTAGTAGTAATAATAATAATAATAATAATAATAATAATAATAATAATAATAATAATAATAATAATAAAGTTGGAAGGGACCTTGGAGGTCATCTAGTCCAACGCCCTGCTCAGGCAGGAAACCCTATACCATTTCAGACAAATGGCTGTCCAGTCTCTTCTTAAAAGCTTCCAGTGTTGGAGCATTCAAAGCTTCTGGAGGCAGGTTGTTCCACTGATTAATTGTTCTAACTGTCAGGAAGTTTCTCCTTAGTTCTAGGTTGCTTCTCTCTTTTGGTTAGTTTCCATCCGTTGCTTCTTGTCCTGCCTTCAGGCACTTTGGAGAATAGCTTGACTCCCTCTTCTTTGGGGCAGCCGCAGAGATATTAGAAGACTGCTATCATGTCCTCCTCATCCATCTCTTCATTAAACTAGATATACCCAATTCCAGCAACTGTTCCTTATATGTTTTAGCCTCCAGTCCCCTGATCATCTTTGTTGCTCTTCTCTGTACTCTTTCTAGAGTCTCAATATCTTTTTTACATCCTCATTTTTGTCTTGAGTACCAAAAAGACCTTGGTTGACACTGGATTCTAGGTCTTTTGATTTGCAGGAAAAGGTTCTATCTGCAGGTTTAATTCAAGCAGCCAGATGTCTTAGATCAGTGGTCTTCAAACTTGGCAACTTTAAGACATATGGACTTCAACTCCCAGAATTCCTCAGCCAACCCTGGCTGGGTGAGGAATTCTGGGAGTTGAAGTCCATAAGTCTTAAAGTTGCCAAGTTTGAAGACCCCTGTCTTAGATTAACTCTTCCCTCCTTAGAGAATGTATAGCCATGGAAATGGAAGAAGTTTGAATTAAGCTCAGGGCAGGACAAATAGAAAGTGTATAGGTTTGTCAAGGATCTAATGAAAGTAGTTTGCGATATGTGGCTATTTATTAAGTTTCTATCTCACTAAGAAATGTGGCAATTCCAATCTAAACCAATGGCATCCTTCAGGTGTGTTGGAGAAACCTATGAATTCTGGGAGTTGAAGTCCCATACAAGCACATATTGTGGCAATGGAATGGGGAAGTTTCATGTAGACAGAGGTTGCTTAGATTGTGGTGTCATTTTCCCAGACTTCTTTTCACTTTATTTATTTGCCAAAGTGGCTGATCCTGCTGAAGCCGGTGTTGCTTAAATTCACAACCTGCCCACTTTAATTTAAATAACTTTGCATTATTTGAATGACATGCTGAGCAGCGGGTCTTAAGAAATGTGTTCTTGCCCGCGTGGTCTGATCTCTTCCATGGGATGGCATATGTTGTGCCTATGGTCCATATCTTCAGCCTTCTGGAGAGGACTTATTATCCCAGGAGGAGGGAGTGGGAAACTTCTCTGCAAGGACTATTCATCACCATGAGTACGTGCAACATTTATTTCCGAAGGTCTTATTCCCTTGAATAAGGGGTAAACTGAATGCTGAAGATTGGTGGCGGACAGTAACTTAGTTGCTTTCATGACCTACTGGTGAGCATCCACAGACATCTGCCTGTCCATGTTGGAAGCAATATTTTGGAATTGATGGACTCTTGGATCTGCAGCGGACACAACTTTTGTTAGTCTGAAAGCTGAATTTGGCTTTTGGGGAGCATTCTGGGGGATGCAGTTCCAAGAAGTGGGCAGGGCCGGGACGAATCATAAATTTGGCTCCTTGTTGCATTAAAAATTGCAGTTCAGCTTCAGGGCAGGCTTGAAGGCGGGGTTAAATTTTGCAAGGCAAGGCCTGGAACTCAGAAGGGATTCTTTTCACTTGCTCTGGGTTGACCCAGCAGGATTCATCATTGTGGATCAGCCAGAAGGCCTAGCAAAATATATCAGAGTGAGCAAATAAAGATGTTCTGCCTGGAACATTTAATAATAATAATAATAATAATAATAATAATAATAATAATAATAATAATAATAATAATAATAGTAGTAGTAGTAGTAGTAGTAGTAGTAGTAGTAGTAGTAGTAGTAGTAATAATAATAATAATAATAATAATAATAATAATAATAATAATAATAATAAAGTTGGAAGGGACCTTGGAGGTCATCTAGTCCAACGCCCTGCTCAGGCAGGAAACCCTATACCATTCCAGATAAATGGCTGTCCAGTCTCTTCTTGAAATCTTCCAGTGTTGGAGCATTCACTGCTTCTGGAGGCAGGTTGTTCCATTGGTTAATTGTTCTAACTGTCAGGAAGTTTCTCCTTAGTTCCAGGTTGCTTCTCTCCTTGATTTAAACACAGCATCAGCCCTTGCAGAAATGCATTTATTAATTAATTGCATTCCAGGCTGCCAACGGAACTTCGCTTTCCGAATAGTTGAAGGCCACCGAGGATTACGAGATTCTACCCGTTTGAATGCTAATTTCCACCTTCCTCTCCACAGAACTTGTCCTCTTTGACACTTTGCCAGAGCAGTCACTTTCAATAGAAACATTCGTCTACCATGATGAGGAGAATTTGGTGATTGCACAGCCCTTTACTGGACGGTGCAACTTCTTGGAGTGGGACCACGTGATTGGGAAATTTCGCAGCTATGCCACTATCAATGGTAAGAAACCCACAAACACTCAACACAATCACTTTTCTCCTACCAGCATTACTAGTGAAGACATTGCCTTTGTTGTTCGGAAACATACAGTGAGTGACATTCAGCAGCACCAAGCTACACCCCATAATGAATAAGGAGCTACCCTTTTATGCCTATCAAATTTCTCTGCAGTTTGTAGGTCTCTAAGCTGTGGTCTGTATTTAGCTCCGATCCTCTCCTTGACACACACACCCAGAGGTTTGCTGCAATATTGTAGGAGAAGAGCAGGCAAAGTTGGTTGGGGTGGGGGTGGAGTTAAGTGTGTCTTCAGATTAGAATCCTTGCATTCCCACAAGCACTCCAAACCCAACCCATCCTGAATTCCATTGACCTTTATCTGGCGCCAATTTAGTTAATGGTAATTAAATAGATAACTAAGGTAAGTAAGCATCACTCCATCTTTCTCCTTCTCAGGTTCTTCCACTGTGGTCTGCAAACCTTTGGTGATTGAAGGTGAACTTTTTGTGGTAGTAGCTCAGCTCTTTAGAGGGTCCCACATCTACAAGCGACAGGAAGCTACAGGACAGTTCCTGCACACCCAGGTCATCGAGAGCTCCCGTATCCGCAAGCCCAATGACATTGAGGTCTTCCGAATGGAAGGAGACTGGTATTTCATCATGGCGGACAGTTCCAAGGCCGGCTCGACCACGTTGTATCGCTGGAACGGTCACGGCTTCTATTCCCACCAGTCCTTGCATTCTTGGTATCGTGACACAGATGCTGAATTTCTGGAGATTGCTGGCAAGCCCCACCTCATCTTGGCCAGCAGCTCTCAGCGCCCTGTTGTCTATCAGTGGAACAAGCAGCAATTTGTGCGCCGTACAGACATTCCTGATATGGATGATGTATATGCTGTCAAGCATTTCAAGGTCAAGGATGACGTGTACATTTGTCTGACACGGTTCCTTGGAGATTCCAAGGTGAGATTGGAGATTGGGGAGGTTGGTCATTACTGTACCTGCTTCCCTGGGGTCACACATTTCACCGAGCCCTAATGTGGTTTGTCCACAACCTCCAGAAATGTGGCTATTTGGCCTAGTGTGTTGGGTGAATCCAACCACTGGGGCTTGCAGATCAGAGGTTATAACTGAGCCTATGTGGGCCTTAGGACACTGTGGCATTTTCAAGTAAACCTGATGCAGTTTTAAACATAGCCTATAGGAGAATATATTTGTGCTTGGTGAAAACTATTACTTTTGTCTGCTGCCAATCAAAAACATGCCTCAGTGAGAAGCACAAGTTGTTACAATTGATGGCCTGAAGGCTGGACAGATCTAGGATGACCTCCAGATATGTTGGATGTCAACTCTCTTAATTCCTACCCATCATTAGGAAAGCCTACAATAGTTGAAACGTCTTAACATATGGTACCAGCTGCTCAGAATACCAGTGTTGCCATCCCATCTCCTTGATGGAAGATTTTGAGTAAAAGGCTGGGCAGCCATCAATTAACACATAAATCTGGGTTCCTGCACTAAGCAAGAGCTGACCGTTGATGGCTTACACAGACTTACTCAAATGCATATTTCTGTAGTGTTTGGTATGGCAAAGCAGAACCTATCTGAGCTTCTGATGAGAGCCATTATGTCACATTACCATTTCTATTGGAAGCACATAAGCAGATAAAGTAATGATAAATTAAACAAACAATAAATGTACATGATGGTCCAAAGAATAAGCTATCTGAGGTTGGTGTGACTACTATTGTGCACCACTTTAGTTTTATCCAAGCAAGAAAGTAGATGCAGATTATTAAGCTTGGCCCTTTCTCTTCAAGCTCATACTGGTTCTGGACCCATTTAGAGATGAAGTTGAGCCAGATATCTCCTTCCCATTGTCAGGTTGGAGGGATGGAAGAATTAGGTTATTTAATCCAATTTCACCTGTGCTCTCTTTGCTAACTTCAGACTATAAGTAAGGCCTCCAATTAAAAATTCTGGGATTTTAATGAGTTCTGACATTAAGTACATTAAGTCTATGCCTTAATGGTTCTTGCTAGATCTGATCTTAGTAGAAGAGAATATGCCAAGGCATATGGTTCAATTTTGGCTCAATCAAATCTAATTTATTGGGCCAAGATTAATCTGAGCCAGGTTTTTCTTTTCCAATGTGTTATGAATCAGGTAGATTGCTCATTGAGAAATAAATGAAATCCCTCTCCTTGGTTGACTCCCATTGTTTTCCACTCTCTGGAGAAGCCTTGCATCTGGACTTAACATTAGCTTCTTTTCTCCCATAACACTCGCATCTTTCTAAGACTTGCCGTGCTCATAGTTGCAGCCGACATTGCCCTGGGCTTGCATACCTGCACGCCCTTTTACTGAAACTGTCTTCAAGAAATTGCATTTGAGTCTTCTTCTGCTCTCCACAGGTGATGCACTGGGATGGTTCCATGTTTCGAGACGTCCAACAGATGCCTTCTCGCGGCTCCATGGTCTTCCAACCGCTGAGCATCTCCGGCTATCGCTATGCCTTTCTTGGCAATGACTACTCCTTCAGCAAAGTCTACCGCTATGACCCCATCACTGGCCTCTTCCAGCACTTCCAGGAGCTCAACACCCAGGCCCCGCGTTCCTTTGCCCACCTCAACGTTGACAAGCAAGACTTCCTGATTGCCTCCAGCTTCAAGGGCAAGACACATATTTACCGCCATGTCATCATAGATCTGAGTGCCTGAGCCTAGCGACAGTGGGGCTGGGGGGGCATTGAACAAGAGTAGGAGGCAGCTACCGCAGGGAGCAGCAGTCCAGGAGAAGACCGCTGGCTCCTGGAAAGTGCAGTACCAGAGGCAACCACAAGGGGGACAGCATTGGAAGTAGATGCTGTTGAGGGTGCACTTCTCCAATGGCACAAGACACCAGCTGGCCACCAGGTGGGAGCTAGGCAACTTAAGAGCCATAATCAATCACTAGCAAATGCAACTTGAGTGGCAGCAGAAGTCAGCAGTTTTTTCTTTTCTTTTGACCTGCCAAATGATGATAAACCGATGCTGCCATTGCAGGAAAGGGCCAGATACCTTGCAGTTTTGCAGTGGGGCTAACTCAGAAACCCTCACCAACAAGGCAGAGGTCAACCCTCTCCAGAATTGCTCGGAATTTCCATTCTTTTCCCCCATTCTATCATTTCCTAACAAGGATGAGGTTGATTCAGTTGAATTTTCTTCTTCCCTTTTAATGGATTTCTGGAAACTTTTTTTTTTTTTTTGCTTATTTTGCCTGCTTGCTTGTATGGCTCTATTTTCTTTTGAAAACATTTTTTTTTAAAAAAATGTGCAATCGTGCATCAAATAACTGTAACCAGTCCTATGCGTGCCTGTTCAAAAAGCAAACACCACTATGGCTGAGTTCACACAATGCAACAGAGACAATTAAAATGGAGTCAATAGCTTGGGATTCAGTTTTGGGGGATCGTAATCTATTGTGGAAACCAGGCCACGATATTAAGTTATCCTACAGGGTTTTTTGGCTATCCCAAGTCGAGGGTCCAAAATGTTGTGTGAACACAGCCAAGGAATCTTGGAATACCTTTAAATGTCTGATGGTATAAGCTCTGTATGTTATACTCCCCTAGGAATAGGTCCCGTTGATCTTAACTGGGATTAACAGCCCAACCCATAGATATTGGTCTGCCTCCCACTCAGTCCTACTGGAAGCTTGCCTCAACCTTTCCTTGAGATATGAACAATTTCCTGCATTCAGCAGAGGTTTTTTCCAAAGCAGATCTACATCAAGCAGTGTTACAGTCATTTGCTGGTTACATTCAATGGCCGTTTTAATGGCCGTTTTCTATTTCCCAATTTAAGGATGTATAAAGATACACAATGTTAGGCATCAAACTATGTCAGGGAGAGACATGACTGAAGCACAAGCTTAGTGTTAAGCACACAAGGGGTCCCAGGGAATCTTGATCAATCGGAGGACTTTGGAGGGGGAGAGAGAGAACAAAGTGACATAAAAGGCGCATGGACTCATTGATAGAATGGGCAGAGGGGAACCCTTCTGGACAGAACCGTTAGCTGAAACAGAGGTGGACTTGCAAGGAATATAGTCCAGCATTTATTTTTCAACCGTAAATAACAATTATTCAGAGTCATCAAATCTCCTTCTAGGAGAGGAGATACTCTATTGTGTATCTTGCTCTCGCTGGACTGGGAGAGACACAGCTCAGGCAGAAAATACACCGTGGGGGGGTGGGGGTGGGTCTCTTCAGAAAGACAGGCTTATTTTCCTCCGTGGGCTCCCCTTTGCGATGCGGCATCCCACATACAATACATTGTAAATAAAAGTCAATATATTGTTTGTGGGCTCGTGAGTGTTCGGACGTGTCTCCGTTTCCCAAATGTTGAAGGAAGTATGTGGGGATGCTACTCAGAGCCAAAGGGAGGGAGATCGATCCCCTGGCCTTGAAACAACAACTGGAGTGCACCCACAACCATTTTGATACAAGTTCTTTGCAAGGGTCAAAGCACTGAAACGGTTCAGTCAAACACTGAGTTGAAAAAGGTAAGGCGGCTATTGGACGTATTATGTTAAAGCACAGTTTCTTTAGCTAGGATTTATTGAATAAGCCACCATTGACAGCGCTTGCCCAGAAGAGTAATCCAGAAACTGAGCAAGCCATATTCTCAGTGGTACAGAATGAAGCACGGGTAATCCTCGACTTATAACCATTGGGTTAAGTGACCGTTTGAAGTTATAACGACACTGAAAAAAAGTGACTTGTGACCGGTTTCCACACGACCGTTGCAGCATCCCCAGGGTCATGTGATCACAATTTGGGCACAATTTGGTTGCAGTGTCCTAGGATCGTGTGAGCCACCGTTTGTCAGTTCCCTGGCTGGGTTCCGACAAGCAAAGTTGGTGGGGGTAGCCAGAGTCACTTAAGGACTATATAATTCCCTTAAAAACAGCAGTGATTTGCTTAACAGCTGTGGCAAAAAAGTCATCAAATGGGACAAAACACACTTAACCACTGCCTTGCTTAGCTACGGGATCAGTTGTGGCTGTAAGTCAAGGACTACCTGTAGGGGATCAAGCCAGCATAAGTTGCTTGTTTCTGATTTTCTGCATAATACAACACAGACCTTGTTTAGTTAATCAATTCCCACAAGGTAGATGTCTACTCATTCTGGTGGCCTAGCAATTCTATTGCAGCGTAACGTCGTTCATAGATTGGGGGCATTTTTTTTCCTTGGGTGCATCAGAGAGGGTCTACTCTAACAAGGCAGTGAGGTTTTATTTCCCAAAACAAATGCAAGAAAAGGCAACAAAACAAGCCCATGGTTCGTTGGTCAGGAGGAGAGCCATTTCACCAAGAGTCGGGGCCGGTGGCAGTCATGGGAAGGGGCTCCATTCAGCACTCACTGGCTCCTAGAAGACGCGGGTGAGAAAAACCAAACAAGGCACATTTTAGACAAGAGAAATGGCGTGGTTTTCCCCTCATCCTACATAAAAGATTGACTCGGGAGAGACTGAAGGCAATTTGTTCTCTTACCTGCAAGGGGTTGTTTCGGTGCCACGACGATGTACGTGCTAAATGGGGGGGGGCAAAAGTTGAGGTTAAGGAAGCTGGAGCCCAGATTTGCATCCTCACCCCACCTTCTCGTTTTTGGGAAAGGAAATTCAAGATGGCGCTTGTCCCAAACAAGAAGCATGAAGCCCAATTGTGCTTACTCAAGTGATCTTAACCCTGTGTTTCTCAACCTTGCAACTTTAAGAGGTGTGGACTTCAACTCCCAGAATTCCCCAGACAGCCGTGCTGGCTGGGGAATTCTGGGAGTTAAAGTCCACACCTCTTAAAAGTTGCAAGGTTGAGAAACACTGTCTCAACAGGGGTCCACCCCTTCCAATCCATCTTAACATGTCCCATAGCTGTGTTAAAAAAGCTCTCCTACCTGCTTTTCTTTTTGGGCTTGCATTTGCACTTTCCACCTGGTGGGGAGAGATGAGAAGGACAATGATTAAAGCAAGAAAAGGATGGGGCAAAATTACAAAGGTCAGCTGATACATCTAAGGCATCTTAGCAGGCAAAATAGTCAACTTCAGTTCCTGCCTCTTCCTAGAGTGGTTGGAGAACATCTAGTAGGAAGCAGAAGAAGCCAGTGTGTTACAATACTCTGTGGGTTAGAATTCAGTGTTTCCCAGCCTTGGCAACTTTAAGGGATGTGGACTTCAACTCCCAGAGTTCCCCAGCCAGCATGGCTGGCTGGGGAATTCTGGGAGTTGAAGTCCACATATCTTAAAAAGGCTGAGGTTGAGAAACACTGAATTCTAGATAGACCTGGGCTCTATTACAGAAGACAATGAAGTTCTACTGCAACTCCCAAAACACACTTTGCATATGGAAGGTATTGACCAGATTCATATCCTACATTAAGCCATAATTGTATCCCACCATGGCTGAGCCAAAGCCAAGAGATCTACATCATGGCATGGTGGAGAATGTGAATCCGGATGCAGGGAATCTGCCCTGTAAGAGACTGTTGAACATCCAATAGCCCAAACTAGGTACAGTAGTGGCCAAAATTGTGGAAATGTTTTGGGAAAAGTGTACAGTAGAAATGCCATCTTTGGTTAAGTTTTCACCAATTTTTCTTCTAATTTCTTTATAACTGTAGCCTTGTTCACCTAATAATACTATTTTACATCGCTTTCTGGATGCCCAGTCAACTCTTTGCACCATTACTTTAATTTTATTACGTTTTACAAGCTCACTAAATGAAAGAACACAAAATAACCCAACCAACTTGATAGCGATCACATAACACACTGACAAATGTCCTCTTCTCAGCTTCAATACATGACATCAATCACTGAATCCTACTGTGATCTGATTGGCTCATTGGCAAAAGAAGATGACACCTGATTGGCTCTCTAAATACTCATGCTCATTGGCTACAATCGGATAAAGGAAAGCTACCTGATATCAACCTAAGCAAGTTGTGCTTCCTTTTTCTGGATATTTGGCTATAACTTTTCATAGAATACAGTACAGGTAATTGAACAAACTTTGTTGCATTACATTCTTGATTAAATTATCTTTCCATTGATATATAATTTTATGGTACTACTCCAAAACAAAGTGGTGTTATTAGCCATCAAACCTCAAAAATACACTTTTCCCAAAAGGTTTCCACAATTTTGGCCACTACTGTAGGTCTCATGAAGTTGAATCCTGGGAATTGCATGTCATGGACTCCCCCCCCCCCTCTGCTATGAAAAATCAGGGTTAATTGGAAAGTGATCACTAACATTTCTTCAAAGCCTAACCCTCGTGGGATTGATTAACACATTTTTGTTTCATTGCCAATGACTTCACTGGGAGGTGGGGGGAGGTCCTATGAATAGGCAGAGGGAGAAACCAACTCAGATGACAGAGGGTAGAAGATAGGAGTAAGTAATTGTACCAACTACAGGTAGTCTTCAACTTACGACGACAGCTGAGCCCAAAATTTCTGTGGCTAAGGAAGACATTTGTTTAAGTAAATTTCACCCCATTTTACAAACTTGCTTGTCACCTTTGTTAAGTGAACAGTTGCAGTTGTTAAGTTAGCAACATAGTTGTTAAGTGAATCTGGCTTTCCCCCATTGACTTTGCTTAGCAGAAGCTCACAAAAAAGTGATCACATGACTCCGGGACCCTGCGACTGTCATAAATGTGAATCAGCAGCCAAGTGTCTGAATTTTGATCACGTGACCATGGGGATGCTGCAACGGTCCTAGGTGTGAAAAACGGTCATAAATCACATTTTTCAGCACTGTTGTAACTTTGAACGGTCACTAAATAAACTGTTGTAAGTCAAGGACTACGTGTAGTAGTTCTTAGCTCTCAGGGATTCCTCTTTTGAAGGAGAATGCTTTCACCCTCATGTAATTTTCTACTGCACAGTGGTGAGGGGGCAATGTGTTTAAACAAGAGTTAGTCCTTGACCTCACGCAGCCAAATGTCTTGGGGTGTCTGTGGTCAGTTCTTGGTGTTTTGGGTGGGTGTATATCTATTTAAAGTATATATACACATCCTAGCCTGCAGCCCGAAAGGCTTACAGATCAAATTACTTTTAAAAATAGCAGACCTCTTTTTCGGGTGACAACTGTAAAGAGAGAGGGAGAGGTGACTTAACTATGAATGGATGGGAATTAAGGTCCTAAAGGTTCTCTTTTTTTTTNCTTATTAAGGGTTCCAAATGATTTTTTATAGGTGTAGCTTCATGAAATGACAGAATTAACTTGTTAACTTTACGGAAGATGGGAATTTTTTTTCTTTTCTTTGTTTGTATAAGTAAGGGATGGTGTTAAACTATCTTGCTGAAATGGTAAAGATCTTGGGTATTTGAAGAACTAATTAAATGAATAATTTTTATTAACATGGAGGAGATGGATTGCTTAAGTTTAGAGTTTGGAGTTAGAGATATTAATATTTGTTTACTTGTATTTGAATATTAGCCTAGGTTTGGTTTGGGAAGTCCGGGGGGTGGGGGGATGGGATATAACATTGTGTAATATCTGTGATGTATTTCTTTTTTTTATGATAAAAACAATAAAATTTTATATTGAAGAGAGAGGGAGAGGGAGGGAGGGAGAGAAAAGAGAGAGAGAGAGAGAGCAAAAGGAAAAACGAATGGGGAGGGCAAAGGAAAAACAGAGAAACCAAACATCTACAAAAATCCTCTCATTAGGAAGGAATGAAAGAGAGGGAGGAGGAGAGTAATATAAATGCTTCCTCAGAAGGATCATGATAAAATAGTTTGACACTTCAACTGGGAAAGGACATTTGCTTGGCCCAGGGAAGAATCTGATCCTAAACATACATTATAAAACAATACAACCTAAAAAAAGGTCCTTCCTAAGGACTCTACACAGACAGCATTTTCCCAGTCTCCCAGAATTGTTCCCTTCCCCCAATTGTTGTTTCCACTTACTCAGGAGGATAACAATTCCCAGAACACACAGAATGCCTGCAAAGACCATACCACCAACACGGAGCGAATGCCAATCTAGAAGAGAAAAGGAGACCATTGAGTGTTGCTTTTAGATTAGCAGCAAAATCTGTCCTGCTCATTTCAAGACTACCCACTTCACACACAAAAAAATTGCAGTGAGGACAGCTTTCCCCTGGGCTGAAGAATTCCGGCTGGCTAAGAAAGAGACAGTTTGTGTTAAGGGACCAGTTTGTGCAAATGAAAAAAAAACAAAATTCTTAACAGAGATGCCTACAAAATAGGCCACATGAGTGTATGGATGTGGGGGGAAAGGCTGTTATGGGGTACAATCTTTCCCCATATTTTTTTCCTGCTTTTTATAAACACTACATCCACACACAACGCACTATTAAAACGTGGCTGAGAATGAGATAGACTTACCGTATGTAAAGGGGGAGTATTTATCTGGATAAAGGAAAAGAAAGATAGTTAACACTCTGTTGCCTGTGATCTGCAACTCTAGTTAGGCAAGTAGCAAAGGATTCCAGGCTACATCTTTGCAAGAAACCAACAGTTCCAAATAGGTTCCGTAATTTTGCAGCAAAAAACATTGACTTGGGTGGTAGGAACCCTGCCTTATTCTTGAGTGGAGAACTAGTAACTCCCCAAATGTTGCAGAGCTACAACACAAACTATACAAGCATAGTCAGCCAGCATAGACAATGGCACTGAAGGTGATGTTTGGAAACATCTGGAGGACTCGCTTACCCATACCTTATTGAGATTGTAGATCTTTCTGTCCAAGTTCTGTTTTGTATCCTGTCCACTCTTATGCCTCGCTTCCCCAAACATGTCACTCAAAGAACCCTCAGGAATAACCTACTGGTGATCAGCACATCTTAATCCCTGTTGGCTGATCTCAGTGATGCCCTGAGGAATTTCATCTGGCTTGAAAGAAATCTCTCCAAATCCACCACCTCTAACATTCCTCTAGAACAGGGCTTTTCAACCAGTGGTACGGGTACCACCTGTGGTACATTGGCACCTGGCAAGTGGTATGCGACCATCCTAGAAAAGTGGTAGCAGGGGAGGGGAATGAGCTGAACCGGTGGCAGCACCGCACAAGCCTGAGCGAGAGACGGCTGGAGCTGCAGGGCTGTCAGGGCTCGGCGGAAGCGCCAGGATCTTGGCGCTGATCCTAGTGCTTCTGCTGAGCCCTGAAGAAGCACCAATCAGCTGGAAAGCAGCACTGATCCTGACGCTTCTGCTGAGCCCAGAAGAAGCGCCGATCAGCTGGAATGTTGCAACATCTCCAGGGTCTTTTGATTTACATTCAGATGCTTGGCAACTGATTCATATTTATTTATGACGGTCACAGTGTCCCAGGGTCATGTGAAGTGACCAAAACCTGCTGCAACCACCCAGCAGATGGGGGAATAAAAACCAAACACCCCCCACCCCACCCCCACTGCCAATCCTCAACAGAAATGCTCACAACAATGAAAACCTCGGACAGGAGGAAGAGCGCCACCGGGCGGGCAGGCAGCTATCTTGCTAGGCTGTGGCTTGGGGGGGCACTTTTTTCAGTGCCATTGTAACTTCGAACAGTCACTAAGTGAACTGTAGTAAGTCAAGGACTACCTGTACTTTATCACTTTTTTCCTTTTTTTTTTTTTTTTTGGTCTTCATGTTTTTGACACCTTGCTAGGCGATTGGTGGTACTCGGATGTTACCATATCCTAAAAGTGGTACAATGGGTGAAAAGGTTGAAAAGCCCTGATCTAGAAACTACTAAAGCTGAGGAGCGGCATCTCTGGTCTCCTTCAGAGTTCTCCAAAGTGGTCATTATTAATCCCCAAGTCTCGGTGGGATATCCAAGGGCTTGTCATCATTATTCACAGTGCTATGAATTAAAGTAGTATTTATTAAATTATTTTCATATAATAAATCTTCGGGATTGATGAAGGCGTCAATGAGATGAAAAGTTTGGTGGCCCCTGGTCTAGTTTTTCATGATCAGCCTGATCTTCAGTAGAATTTCAAAGAGGTCTTTTGCCCTGTTTACAGGAAGACATCAGCCTATGAAGTTACTCACCTTCAGGGTCCTTTGCCTTCAGAACAGGAAACCCTGCAAAATTGAGATGAAAAATATTATCGAGTGATGACAAAAATACAGCCCTCCATTTCTGCCTCCCAATTCTAAAGATACTATAAAGATTCAGAAGGACTGGCAGAACCTGGAGGCAGAGTTAAAAAGGGGATCTGCCTAGAATCCTTACATAGCCACAAGCAAACTAAGTCCTGTCATAAATTCCACTGAACCGTATCTAATTCCAAGCAAGTGCTAATTAGTTGGGAAGATTGCGTAGGCAATAAATCAGTTTAATTGGACTTTCACTGGTGGACCTGATCTTTTGCCCTGACAGATTCCCAAGAACATTCTAAATCTACTTTAGAAAAGACCAAAGATGAAGAAAAGTGGCATGAACATTTACCAGCCAATAGACAAAGGAGGATATTCATGGCGGTGGATTTCATCTTGATACAGAATGAGATCTAAGGGGAAAAAAAGAAAAAATGGCCAATTCATATTTTCTATTAGCCAACTCCATGTTCTTAACTCATCTAATTAAATAAGATTATATATTTTCTCTCTCTTTATATGCATATATATGCATATATATATATATACATACATACTGTATGCATATGTAAATATTTTATTGGTTTTTAACTATAATAATCTCCAGTGCCTGGTGTACAACGTGTTGTCTTGATTTATATTTTAATAAGAAAAAAGGACAATAATAATTAATTAATCAATAATGATTAAATTTGATAATTCCATAATTAATATATTAATTAATGATATATTGCTTTGATCTTCCCTTCTCCCATTTGTATTGTCCTTCTTCAGCCTTAACCAAAATATAATTCTTAATATTTTCAATATATAAATGATTAGATATAGGCATTTTTTATATTTATACAAATAATAATCTCTACGTATAACATTTTTTCCAGCTTATATTATTCTTATAACCATCATCTCTTTAGTTCAGCATGCATCCTATTTTCATAATTTTTGTTTACGCTTAATTTCCCTTACATTCAATCCAATTCTTATCAGTCATAATTTCTTCTTATGTTAGTCATCTAACTGTCCATTTAGGTACATCATCCCAATATTTTATGTCATGCATTATAATAATAATAATAATAATAATAATAATAATAATAATAATAATAATAATAATAGTAATAGTAATAGTAATAGTAATAGTAATAATAATAATAATAATAATAATAATAATAATAATAATAATAATTACATTGACATAAATGGAAAATTGTAACCAAGAGTATAAATATTTGCCAGAATTATATCTCCTGGGGTTCTTTCTTCTTTCTGACTAAAGAAAGAAGTTCCCTTTTGATCCATCTTAGACCCAAGTCTGGGCAATAAATGATACTCAAGACTGGCCATAACACAACCTTATTTCCACCACATTTCACAGTAGAAAATTCCAAAACTGAATTATTTCTTTTTGCCTGTCTTGATCCGTCCAAGATTTCATAGGGAGATCTCCTGATGCTAGTATTTGGGGAGGAGGGAAACAGTCTCTCCTTATCCATTTTATTCTCATGCATAATTCCTTTCAAGACTTTAGGGCTGTGCATTTATGCAGAATTGCGACAGAGGAAAAATGTGTAGGTGTCACGCTTACACTCAAGGCACCCAACACCAGAAACAAGACTCTTACCCGGCGGTGGGGGCATGGGGGGGTTCTGATCTTGCATCTAAAACTGGACTATAACTGCCCACATCCCTCATAGTAAGAGAATGCAGATGGTTGGGTGTCATCAGCTACAACTGGAAGGTGACTTTTTCATTATTCTTGCACAGACCATCTTATCTAACCTGATGCATCCATAAGATTATATCTTCCTTGTTGCCAAGCTGGTTTGGCAAACTGCCATGGTAATTAAGAAGAATGGGAATTGTAGTCCAGCATGTTTGAAGAATATCACATGGGAGGGGAGGGGAAGCTTCAGCCCAACATTGCAAAATAGTCTTTTTTTAACTGTCTGGGGTCACAAAAGATTTCCCCAAGAAGCCTCAGCCGCTAGTTTAAAATTCTGTTTTAAAGCTTAGAAAATGAACATTGAAGATGCTGACAATAATTAGTTCCCCAATGCAAAACTAGAACTAAAACAAAATATTAAAAAAAAATAAGTACAGCAGCTAAAAATTCCACCAAGTAGCCCAAGCAGCATTTCATAGCATTTCTGAAAAGAATTTTTCTTACATACTTGGGGGGGGGGGGGAGTAAAGTTTTATTTTTATTTATTAAATTGTATTACATTTATATGCCGCCCATCTCACCGATAAAGTGACTCTGTTGCTTAGCTAAAAGCCTTCTTGAACACACAACTTAATACAGAATAACAGAATACGTTCTGACACTGCATTCAGTCATATCTTGATTTAATATTAAACCATTAAGGCACCATTCATATATTAAGCTATAAAACACTGTTTACAAATTACAATGACTGAATTCATACAATGCCACATACTGGCTTAAGCTCATGCTGGGAAAGTCACCTGAGATCCTTTCAGACTGTCATTTCCTAATAATCTCAAAATTATGCTACTAATTCACTTTTCTTCTGTCCTTAAATAAATGTATTTGTGATGATGTCACAGGTAAGAATCACCAGAGTGTTGCCAAGAGAATACAATATTTCTGGAACCACCTCTAAAATCACATAGCAAGCAGAATTTTTTTCACACACACAAAAACCCTTATTGAGAAATAGCCTTGAAAATGCATTTTGGCAAAGTAGATGCCACCTTTGTGACAATCTCGGAAGGGCTCAAACGTAGAGCCTTGGGTGATGATCAGAATGTTTTAGAAGATAAATATGGGCAAATATGGAAGGAGTAAAAGAGAACGGGTCACAAGACATGGCTATGTATGCCTGTAACCAAGTAGAATCCATAAGTGCCTAACAAAGGTGGCACAATGACAGAATGTTCCAAACAGAACAAATGCTTTATCCATGTTCTAATCCTTTAGGATGCCCATAGGAACCACATGTTAACGGTCCGGTGAACAGAAAGCGTTTTTGAATGGTGAATTGCTTTGGAAAAAGCTCAACTCCATTTTGACTACTCCAAATGTGTGGTCTTCTATTCCCAGAATCCCCCAGAATAGCCATGCCAGCTGGGGAATTCTGGGAACTCATTTGATGCATCGGCTGGGTCTTTTGAAGTTTGTCACTTAGCCCAATAATTAAGCAGGTGCATGCAATAGTTAAGGGCTGGGAAGAAACACTGGAAACAAACAAACAAACAAACAAAAAGGAACCATGAAAGTAACAGAAAGAGAAAATATTTGATCTGACCAGGGCTAATCCTGAGGAACTTTTATATTATTTGACATTACTAGCTGCAAAGCATCAACCAAAGCTAAATCATAGAAAAGAAAAAAGAGCAGGTAGGAATGGTTGAGAATCCATAAAGGCAAACGTGTGACAAAACGCCAAATGAAATCGGTAAGAACCAGCTTCTTTGTAGTGGATTCTTTTTTGCTAATATTAAGCACAGCAGGTTGCATAAGACCCAAGAGTGTAATCTACTCCCTGCAGTTAAAGGAGCAGTCACAACATGTTGAAAGGTAATATAGTTACCAGTGTAGAAAGCAAGACAACAAGTCGGTTCCAGGGAACATTTCTTGGCCCTTAAATCTCAGAGCAATACTGGGTCAAAAGCTGGAGGTACACTGAGAAAACAGAAGACCCAAGGCAACTCCTTTTGGTGGTCCCTGAGACAAGCTATCACATCTGCTGCAAAAATCCAGATGCCCGCTAGATGCCAATAAAGCTAAGAGATTTCTGCACCTCTCTGCTTACATACCTAGTGATCAGCTGCTTTTCTACAGCCCAGATCGGCCGCCCTTTGTAGATTCTTCTCCAAATACAAAGTGTAAGATGGGCTTCATGCTGCTTAAGCACAACAAGGAAAATCCATGGAAAGAGGAAAACTTGCCAAGGCAAACATCAGTGACATGGGCCCTTCCTCTTTACGCCCTTGGATCCTTTTCTAGAGCCGTGTTTCTCAACCTGGGAAACTTGAAGACGAGTGGATTTCAAATCTCTGAATTCCCCAGCAAGCAAGAGGTTCTCCAGCCAGCCCCTGATGGAAAAACCCTGCTTCCGAATCAGATATTAGAATGTAATTCAGGGGTAGTCAATCTTGGCTCTTTTATGACTCGTGGACTTCAACTCCCAGAATTCCTGAGCCAGCCATGCTGAGGGGAAAGGGAGAGGTTTCCAAGCTGAGCCAGGCTTGCTCAGGAATTCTGGGAGTTGAAGTCCACAAGTCATGAAGGGGCCAAACTTTCCCCTATGCTGGCTCAGGAATTCTGGGAGTTGAAGTCCACGAGTCATAAAAGAGCCAAGGTTGACTATACCCCTGACGTAATTCTCAGATGGAAGTCTCACGCTGGAGGGTAGCAAGCTGGCTGAGCGGACTTCAACTCTCTCAATTCCCCAACCATAATTCTGGATACCAGTAGTCCTTGACTCAAAACCACCACAACAGAGCCCAACATTTCTGTTGTTATGTGAGACATTTGCTAAGTGAGTTTTGCCCCTGTTGTACGACCTTTTCTGGCCACCGTTTGTGAAGTGAATCACTGCAGCTGTTAAGTTAGTAACCCGGTTATTAAGTGACTCTGGCTTGTCAGAAGGTCTCAAATGGGGATCCCATTGGTACACAGCAACGGTCATAAATATGAACCGGTTGCCCAACGTCTGAATTTTGATCACATGACCGTGGGGATGCTGCAAAGGTCGTCACTGTGAAAAACGGTTGCAAGTCACGTTTTTCAGGCCTGTTGTAACTTTGAACGGTCACTAAATGAAATGTTGTAAGTTGACTACTTGTATTGAAGTTTATACACTTTCAAGTTGCCCAGCTTGAAAAGCCCTGCTCCACGTAACCGGTCCCTGGTACCCAAAACGTTGGGGATTTCTAGGCTAGATAGTGGCCTGTGAAGTAGTAGGGTTGGTGTGTGGGGGGAAACATTACAGGTAGTCCTCAACTTAGAAGATCCACTTCAAGAGGTAGAAGAGAACTTAATTTCCTCCTGAAGGAAGAAAGGAGAACAAAGTAAGCTAGATCAGGGGTCCCCACCCCACCCCCCCGTCCGTGACATGACAGCAACGGGGCCACGCAAACAAGCAAAGCCCCATTTGCTGGATGCAGGCAGCACGCAAAACCACGCACTCTCCGGTCCGTGGAAAAACCTCTCTCCACGTAACCGGTCCCTGGTACCCAAAAGGTTGGGGATTTCTGGGCTAGATAGTGACCTGTGAAGTAGTAGGGTTGGTGTGTGTGGGGGGGAACATTATAGGTAGTCCTCAAATTACAACAGTTCATTCAGTGACTGCTCAAAGTCAGAACAATAGTGAAAATAAGGACTTATGATCATTTTTCACACGGCCGTAGGAGCATTCCATGGTCACGTGATCAAAATTCAGACGCTTGGCAACTGACT